CCATCCATCCACCCATCCATCCATCCATCATTCCACCCATCCACTCACCCACCCACCATCCATCCATCCATCCATTTCTTCATTTCAGGTTTTGATTTTTTGATTTTTAACGAATAGCAACCCACCCCCATTCCACCACACCTACCCTTTAGCATTCTAAGCTCTCTCAATATCTTTCATCCATAACTCACTTTAACTAACTGCTTGTAGGGTGTTCTCTTAACCCTGTGCCCTTTGCTTCCACACCCCATTCTGTTCTTGCAGTATCTTTGCCTTTCTTGACTGGAATGTTATTGCCAACAAACTGTGCTCCCCAAGCAAGCTTTTCTTTACCTTTGTTAACCCCATTATTGCTGTAACGCATAGTTTTCTACCAATAACATCCAGTTACTTAAGCGCGTTACGGAAACCATTCTAAAAACATTTCGTTTGGGAATAAAGAAAAACATTGCCCCTAACCGTTATGGTACATCTTTTATGTCAAGCATGTGAATGCTAAAAGGCGACCCTCGACCCTCCCCAATCATTGATATAATCAGTCGCTGATCTAATTTAATATTATTAAATTTTATCTTTCCCTTTGACCTCTTTCTACCTTCACACACACGACGCATTTACGGGATACGTTATCTTGGGATGCGGTTGAACCTTTCATTTCATAGCAACCCACCCACGTGGACTGGAATACTTTCTAAATATGTGTGGGATCTTGACATCAGTCTAATAACCCTAGACTCGCCCGCAACCTATATGAGCAAAGCTGTTCGTAAGTTCTCGCCTTTGCTCGAGAGTTTCTCCGGGTTCACAGGTTGTCCCTCCCTCCATACAAATTGACCGTACAGCACTATAGTCATGTTTCTGCTTCAGGAGACTGAGAAATCCTGACTTCTCGGGGATCGACCCAAAAAGACTACATTTCTGTTTACAAAATAACCGGGTTTTTTTTTTTTTTCTTTTTTCTTTTTTCTTTTTTCTTTTTCTTTAGGTTACTGAACGTATTCAACTCACAAGGAATTCATTTTGCTTAGTCTACCTGTCCCTGGTAATCACTCAATTTTACTGACCTTAAACGCCCAGTTCCACATCTCACTTGACCACGAAATAAAAAAAGATTGGTAGTAATTTAGTTATCAATTTATAGCTTTGCGAATTCATAAACTCTCGACAAAAACCAAGCTTGTAGACTTCGCACTGAGCAGCAGAATTTGTGCCACAATTATTTTAAGACCTTCTTTCAATTCAGTCTTCAAATATCTTCAAAAATATCTTCTTGGAATTTTTGAAAGGATTTTGAAAAACAATTTTACTTGTTTTACTTGATAAAGCGCTTTGAATGCATGAAATTCCATGGTAAGATTTTTCAATGGAAGAGCGGAGAAGCGTCTGTGGGGGGGTATTTGTAGTTTTTGTTGCGAAAGAGCCGAGAGGGTCCTGTTTCTTTGACAGCCTTGCCGAGAGCATAGACCAAAAAGAATGGATGTAACATTATAGCAGCTTTGTATTTGAAAAGATTAACACGTGCTCCTTGAAATGAATTTTAAGGCCTCGGCAAAAATATAAATTTTTCTTGCAGTTGTGATTATTCCCATCGTATAAAGAAACTTAAAAAATTAAAGTTCTAAGCTTAAAACTTTTTTAAAAAATTAAAAAACTAAACTGAAGACACATAACAGTTCGTTATATCAATCATTTAAAACCTTTCAAAATTCACTCGTTTTAATGCGTATTAAGCGGTTTTCAAAGCCCTGATAAATGCTTTTCTTTCTTATTAATTTGCTCCATTATGTGGTTAATTGGTCCATTTGCCATCAACCGCCAAAGTAATACAAGCATCACGACTCAACTCCGAAATAAAAGGTTGATAATAGAAGGACAAAGGGCTTGAAATATAATGGAATTGAAAACGAAATATCTTGAATTTGTCTGAAAGCAGATTTGTGGCCGGTAATGTTGACGTAAGATAGTGTTTTTAGCTTTATGTAGATGCGATTGCCTTGACATTGCAGGGTTGAGGAGGCACGATGTTGCTTGCTCTAGCAGAACGACTCAATAGTTTTGTTTGCGTGAAGTTGGCCGATTTGTTTGCATGTAAGTAGCTTATTTGCATCAGTTATTTTCGTTATCTTTGTCCTTTCCTTCGCTTTACTAACCATGTAGAATTTTCTATTTCCATCTGCTTCAAGCAAATATCTGAGCGTTGGTGACAGCTAATCATTCAGCGTTTGCAGAAGTAAGTACAATTAACTCGCCAACTAATGTGTTCATAAACGCAATGCTTGGTAGAATTTTGTCATTGAAAGCAGAGGGGGGAAACGTCAACTTTGTAAGTTTATTTGTTGCATTTTCATGGCACATTTTCCCAAACCAGTTGACGCTCGCAACTTGATAATCTTTATAATCTTCTGCGATGATTGGCAAAATGTTGACTTTGTCATTGAAAGCAAAGCAAAAAACGTCAATGTCTTAAGTTTATTTCATGCAATTTCATAGCACGTTTTCGTCAACGCGTCGACGCTCACATAACCCTAATCTCCTTCAGCAGTACTTTTCCTTGGGAAATCTTGAACATTTCTGCCTTAAAGTGGACTTCCAGTGATATTAAGACTGAAATGTTTCGCATTTCATAAAAATGTCATTTGTTTTGTTGATCTTCGAAGAACAAGAGTTTGCGCTTTTCAAATGGCCGCCCTACTTGTACAGGAATTAAGGTTGTATCATTAATTTCAATTGTGCAGGACGCTATGTTTTGGAACCATTTTTATTTAGTCATGCAGAGCTTTGCCATGCAATCTTTTTCTAGCCTGCGTGCATCCAAACACAAACAAACCTAACCAAGAGTTTGTGTTGTTCGGGTGCACGCAGGCTAAACTTTTAAAGTGCACATGAACCCTTCGACAATACTTTCAGTACTGATTCTACACGAAGTAAATAGTTGAATGGTAAAATATTTCTTGATTTGAGTGATGCGTTTCTAAGTTATGAAGGTTTATACTTCCAATATGCTAATGAGTGTGACGTCTATTAAGGCTTAATCAAATATACAAAATCGAACTGGTTCATAGAAACAGTATTTAAAAAGCATCATTATTTTACTCATGGTTTACATGAAAGCTATTTACAATTTTTATTTTCAAAATGGCCAGCATTTAGTATTACTAGTTACAACAAAAACACTCAAATACCTTACCTGACGTCATCATCATTAACATATTGGAAGTATAAACCTTCATAACTTAAAGACGCATCACTCAAATCAAGAAATATTTTACCAATCAACTATTTACTTTATGCAGAATCAGTACTGAAAGTATTGTCGAAGGGTTCATGTGCACTTTAACACAAACCAACATCGCAAACCCGTCCAAACACTCTATAAAGTCAGGGAAATGGAGGTAGTTTCAACTTCGAAGCAGATTTAGTTTAGTTTAACGCAATGTTTCCTCGCAAGGACTAGAATTTTCGGAACTTTTTTTTCTTGCATACTTAAAAACGTAATAAATAAAGCTAGATTGTTCGTGGTGATTTTTTTACGGATTTCAGCGCACTAGAGTATAACATATAGAGCTTAATTTTGGAGTCGTTTGTTCACTGTCGTGGCGAGTAAACCGAGGCAGTCCACGATTCGGTTGTTTCTTCGAGTCTCCACATTTAAGACCTAAAATTGAAGTTTAAATTTTACTTTTATGGTTTAATACCTGAAGGAAGCCTCTAGATTTATAAATGCGAAGATAGGTAGCAAACGATTCGTGCATGGGTATAAAAAAACTACTTTATATATAATGACTAACGTGACCGATGCCCTGGAGCTGTTTTAGCCCTGGGGAGGTAATGAGTGAATCACTAATCGCCGTATCCACGTGACATCGCGTATAATGTGCAGTGACACTTGTATAGAGAGAGGGTCGTTTATTATAGAGCCCGAGAGATATTGAGATAATTAGTGGAGGATATATGATACTTGACAGCAAGAAGCCATGATTATAGCAGGAAAACGAGAGGTAAAAACCCAATTCAGTTAATAATGATGCTACGAATTTTGTGTAAGTTTCTAAAATAAAACGTTTTCTTTTTTCGGACTACTTTTTCGAGGTTGGCCACCAAAGAACTACTTCTGTCTTCTGTCATAAGTTCATTAAACTAATTTCTTTTAGTTTTCTTCGCTTTCTTTCATTCCTTTATTCTGTTTACTTTTCTATTTCTTACTTATTTTCTTACTTTTTATTAATCAGTCATGATTCCTTTTCTCCTTTTTTATTTTTTTCTGTTTGTCTCGCCTTTTTTCTCTCTTTTTGTCTCTGATTTTTCATTTTCTCTTTTCCATTTTTCATTCATTCATTT